CTATACACGAACACCGGTGTCTGTGAGTGGCACTTGCGGGGCCCACCGCCTCCATGAGTCCGGTGACACAGTACAGGGCCCCCCTGTACAATTGGTAGTATTGGTACCTGTGTACGTGCAGATGGGGCTTAGCTTGCCTTTTAGCGGGCTGAAGCGCAGCAGAGCTAGGCGGGATTTCGTCGGGAGCGGAGGCTGCTGAAGTAGTGAGCAGATGTCTACTCTGGGGCTGGGTTAGCAGGGGAGCACAACACAGAGGTTCTTCCAACCCTTCCCCATACTATCCAGAGCAAAAAAGAAAAGTTTTCCCAGAAGTTGAGCTTTAAAAGTAATTTTTTAAATGGCAAACTGTGACTATCCAATCCTTGCCCAGGTTGTCAGGACAGAATTAGACTATGGGGTTGATTTACTAACCTTATAAACACACCACGAACATGTATACACCTCTGTAGTGTGTTCCCTCCCAGCATGATCTATGGGTGGAATCTAAACACCTTTGTAGTGTGTACACACCCAGCAGGTGTGTTGTGCAAAGCCAAGCATGAATTGCAAGGTGATGTTGTGTAAATTAGCTCTATGTTGTGTTGCTTGCGTTGATGAATGCAGGAATGTAAATGCATGAGCTAACCATTTTTGTCTAAACTGTGAAGCAGCATTATATATGCATCACGTGCATTATTTTTCCATATATGGCATTAGTGGAAATATGCTTTTAGAGACTTTTTGGTTGATAAATACGTTTTGCTGTGTGAAAATCACACACACCTGGTGCGTGTGTGTTTTAGGTTAGTAAATCACCCCCTATGTGTCCAACCTACGCTCTGCTCTTGATTACAGTTTCCTGCAAAGTCTTTGAAACCTTGTGAAAAAAAAACAACAATTTAATGTCTTATAACTGTTAGCAATTGCCCATCCAGGCCATAAAACATACAACACATAGTTTTGAAAATCAATTACTTACAATTAATTGCTTTCCTTCTTTACATGGAGGTGCTAAAAAGTAATCAACTCCAATAAAGGAACTGCCTTCACTTTGCTTTGCTATGAACTTAAGTTATTTCTATAGATTTTTGAAGAATTTTCAGGCCAACTGGAAAATTGTATGCCTCCGTAGTGTTCTCAATCTTCCCTGGGGCTTCCACCCTAGGACAGGCATGCAACTGCACAAAAGGGAAAACCCACTGGGTGTATGTGTGCCCAATCTACTTTAAGTTAAGGTGGATTGGAATGGCCAATCCACCTTAACTAGCACTTCCTGAAAAAGAAACAGTGATTTTTGTAATTTAGAGAGGCAGTCCAGAAGTGCTGAATTTCCAACCTAGTCACAGAGACCAAACCCAAAAAGCCTTAAAAAACCATAATGAGGAAAGGGGTGTAACTACTAGCCTTGACCACATATTGGGGTCGCTGACACTATTCAGTATAGGTGGACACAGGCACAACATCTGAAATGTCAAATACTGGACTGCAAAATGTTTATTCTACTGTTAAAAGAAACACAGGTAAAATGTTACCAGCTGTATTTAAATTTGTGAAGATCTCATCATTTCAAACAAAATCCTGTGTAAAGTGTAGATTGAAACTGTTTCTTAACCCAGTGGCACCTTGTTTCCTCTCTGCAAAGTAGCTCCCCTGACCTGGCTGTAGAGAAATATTTCACGGAGAATAGGGAAGATTTTGCACCTGATTTTGACTGTGTAAGATGATTACTCGCAACAGCTGGTATGAGTGCTTCACATGCCAGATTTGGCCTCAACACTAAAGACACTGACTAAAGCAGGCCATACACCTACAACCATTGCACGACTTTCGCTGTGCGATGGTTGTAAGGTAATTCAAATTTTGTACCATCTGCCCATCTTGGACAGGCAGATCGTACTTGCGATCATCGCAAGCCCTCCCCGCTGATTGCAGTGCTGAGCGGGCAGTGTGCTCTTGCGCACACCGGCTCGTGCGGCATTCGTCTCCCGACCATGCCACCAACCCCCCCGAAAATCTTACAATTTTCGGCAGGTTTTCAAGCGTGCTCGGAAGAGGAATGTCGTGCGACCATACAGTAGAAGAGGTCGCACGCTGCCCATACACCTGCCGATTATCGTACGTTCGCGGGATCACCCGCGATTATCGTACGATAATCAACAGGTGTATGAGCACCTTTAAGGCTCCATACAAACTTGCATGGTGTGACAGCACACCTGCGTTTATGCACATTTTTGTGTATAGGGCAGTTGATTAATTTCAATAGGCTGCCCTACCCATGACAATCACGCCAAAGAACTCCCAGCACCAACTTTGTTATCATGAGTTTTGGTGCATTTCATGTACTTGAAAGTGCATGGTGCAGGAATGTGCATTGGGGTCCCATTAACAATGAATAGCACCACAGCGCATCTTACAAAAAGTAACAAGCGATTTTGTGCATGTTGCCGCAATGCACAGAGGTGAACGGGGCCTGAAGGTATGTGAGTGCACCTGTGGGAGCCTATATTTTAACTCATGTAAACCCTTTTGTTACTTACACAAGGTATCAGATTTTCTCAAATGGTTAACATAACCTGATCCAGTCAAATTCAATCCTGCACAAAGTTTTCATTTAATGTGAAAATAGCAAATCCACTGTAATGTCACAACCAAATTACAATCACACATGTTTTCCCATCCTAAACTATTTTCAAACTGCAATCTATATTATTCACAGCCATGACTTTTGACTACATAAAGCCTAATGCTATTTGTGTCTTTTTCAAGTGCACTGGAGCAGAAGATAGTTTTCCACCCAAGCAACTGTTTAGAAAAAAGTCACCCCGCAACTGCACTTCAGTGGATCATGTTGACAACATGCTTGCATTAGGTTACACGTAACTACTTCTGTTCCATTATATACAAAGAACTGCCTAGACCATTTGGCAGCATTACCTATACCTGAGAGTGACCCTGCAGAGCCCACCATAGACTCTCTATAGTGGGCTCTGCAGGGTCTCAGATGGGCTGCACACCTCTTACCTGTCAGCGCTGTCCGACTCCCTGCTCGCCAGGCCCCGCCTCCTCTTCCGTCCCCGGGGCCTGCCTCCTCATCTTTTTATTGATGGGCCCCGCCTGCTCTTAGGTCGCTGGCCAGTGATGTAAGAGGAGACGGGGTTGCTCTTAAGCGGGCCCGCCTCCTCCTTCACTGCGAACGCCGGCCTCTTCTGCCGCAGCTGCTGGCTGTCACTGACACTGCTCCGCATCGGCTGTGAGGGGAAATCAGTGATCTTCACAGCCGCTGCTGAGCTGTGTGGCGATTGTTAAGCCACTGTATATATGTAAATATCAACCCCCCACTACCTGTAGCTTCCTGACATCACATTTAACCAAACAAACATAAGTGTGCAGAGGGGTAGACACATTAATGTGAACACCAGCATTATAGGGATTTACTTTACTTGTGCAGTGTACACTAAAAAAAACAAATGTTACGTTTATCTTCTGTCAATCTTTTCTTTGATTATGCTCTATAGCAGTGGTTCTCAACCTGGATAACCTCAGGACCCACATTTGTCCTTGGTCATTAAGTCGCAACCCAAGTCGCACCACACTGGAACTGTATTGCAGTCCCGTATGTTACGGTTCAAGCGATCAAACTGTGGACGGGAGGTGTGTTTGGGGTGCCATTCAAATGAATTGCAACCCAACGCAACTCCCGCAATTCCTGCACTTCCGGCACCAGAACGAACAGTAGGTGCAATTGCGTTGTTTTGTTTAAATAATACACTGACAGACACACACAACCACAGACACAATCTCACACACTCACAGATATTCTCACACACATATACTGTACATTCCAAAAAATATTTTAGGGGTTCAGTGAGGGATTCTCTGCTGTGACAAAGCTCCATTCATATGCGCATTGCTTGTATAGCTCCCTTGCACACCCTGTAGACGTGCCGGGAGCCAGAATGTGATGTCACTCTTGTCACGCAAGGGAGCTGTAAGCAATGCACATATGGCTGGAGCGCCGGGCAGCATATTTTGAACGGATGCTCAGCACGAGAACTGGAAGTGCTGCACTATTGGGGAGGCTGAGTAGCCTTTCACCTAGTGCAGTGGAAGGCGTGCAGCAACTCACTGAACATGGGGGTCGCGATCCACTTTTGGGTCACGGCCCACCATTTGAGAACAGCGCTATAGAATGTATGCCAGTATATTACACATTTGTGTGTATATATAATCAATTTGCAGAGCCATTTATTCTGCAAAATTGCATGTACATTTGTTCTGTACAAATAGAGGCAAAAACGGCTGTTTGCAGGATAAATGGCTCTGCGGATTGTTCATAAACATACCCCATTGTGTTCACTGTGGTTAGTGAAATGGGTGACCTGCCAGACTTTCAAGGAGGGCGAATATTGGCACCGTTTAGCTGGAGTGAAGAATAGGTGCTGACAACTATATGACAGGGACCATCAACCACTAATAAGGATTGTGACCAAACAACACAAAACTATTGCAGCAAAAGGGACAGTAGAACTAAATTAGCACCTTGATGACCCTGTTTCAACAAAAACAGTCCACAGAGAACTTAACAAAGGTATCATCCATGGAACTGCTGCAATTCCTAAACCTTAAAGTAACCTACGATTAAATTAATTATGTTGTGTCCACCTCTGTAATTGTCCAAGGTGGTTGGGAGTCATTGGATCTTTAATGTGTGTGGAAGGAACAAGGCCATGCGCAGGACATGTAGTGAGAAGCATTACATTTTGGGGAAGCAATGTCTCCTACTGATGTTCATGTCATAAGGAGTTACACCACACCCAGAATCTACCACTGCGTCTACACAAGATTTCAAAGGGATAAAGCAGGGGCAATGTGCATGTATTGTAGGCACTGCATATGTTTTCTCTGATTCTCTGATTTTTTTCCTGTGCCCATACATACACTTGAACTTTGTGCTCATTGACTCTCCTTCAAGCAATTTCAAGCAACTATAACTGGAATTGTATTTTTGAAGCTTTACTTACCTACTAAAGTAAGTAGCACTACCAGCAAAAGTATAAGAGCACAAATACATGGAATTAGAATTAGCAGCAAAACTCGCAGGTACTTGGCAGATGCCAGCTTCTGAGAACAATCATCCCCCATATTATCTTCATCTGTTCCAAAAACCTGAAGAACAGAAAGAAAAACAATGCACTGTTATTAGGTTTGATTGTTTCCAAGATGTACGTCCCCATCTGCTATGTATACAGAAATAATCCTCTTCATACTCTCAATTATTAACATGCAAAGAAAACTGCTAACAGAGATGATCTAATATTACATCAACTGACTATACACCAGAAGATCAATGTCATTGTGGGTTACTGTATGAGCGGCCACTGACATAATAAAGCTCTTCTTATCCTTGTGTCTGCCATGGACTTCAACAATTTGAACGCTTCACAGTTCCTAGCTCGAGAGATCCACCAAATAGTCCTTCCTGTTCTGCAATGTACAATATATAAAAAATCTAACACATACTCAGAAAATGTATAACGGCAAGTGGCTGGAGTTATAAATTCAGGTGCAGAGATTTTGCCATCAGGATTTCCAAGAGATAGAAGAAGCTACCTGATAATTAAACCCAGTGAACCAACCTTTTTACACACTGAATAGTTTTTGGGGCACAAACACAACAACACGACTACATACATAGACAGCCAAACTACCAGATTTACCAACCTGACCATGAATTATCTGGTAATTGCCAGGCTAAGTGATCAGTGTAATAATTTGTCATCATTCTTATACTGTTAATAAGCACCTTAAGAGGCTCTAGGCATCTTTGTTTCTGGACATCCAGCAAGACAAAATATATAAACTGTCATGCAGCTGGAAAGTATGGATAAGCTGTTTGTTGATGAGTGCAGCATCTATTTTAAGAGACTTTTACAATTATTTACATAGCTAGTAACTGATCCTGCTAACCCGACCCATGACAGGACTATTTATACAAGGGGAACTCCGTCTATTACTGATGGAATGGTGTGATACTATAAAAGTGCCCAGAGCCTCCTTACTGGACAGGGAGCGGAAGTGCTCAGTGAGACAGTCTCATAAATAGCTTCTGCTTGTAAGGTCTGAGCAGTTACAGTAAACTGAATACAATATGGTGGACACTGTCTCATATACGTATAACCACTGGCTACGACCCATCTCTTCTCCTTGACATCACTGATTAATTTGTGACATTTGAGAACAGTGTTTGCTAATAAAAGAAAATGTTTGATTAAGAAAGCCAATTGTTCATCCTTTGTTCTCAAATATACAGATGATTCTACTATAAAGCTGAACTTCAGGCCAACATAATCACTGCACAGTATTTATTAACTCATAATGAAATATATATTTTTTTAAGCTATCCATGTAGGTATCTGATGTTGAATTGATATTTTAGCATCTTGCAATCTTCTGTACAACAGAGCTCAAACTGGAATAGGGAAAAGCTGCTCAAGAATCCAGTTAGTTATGCTGCAGTGCTAATAACTTGCTCATAGGAGGATAGAGCAGAGTGGTGGAGAGATAATCTCATTAATCTTATACTTCTTCTTAGCGTGTCCAGTCACAGGCCGGGGTAGGGACAAGACCTTTAAGTGTCTTCCCTGCCAAAGGTCCCAGGGCCAGAAGACCTGACTATGATGGTGCAAAATAAATATTGCAAAGTTAAATGGCATCAAATATTCTTTAAAGTAGATCTCTGGGCAGAATTTTCAATAACCCTTGCAGTGGGGCTACCCCACATTGCAAGGGTTAACTGCTCGTTTTTGTCTAGGTTCAAAAAAGTTATACTCACCTGATCTTCCGAGCCGGCTTGCTCTAAGACCGATATGAAGAGAAAGGTTTGTTGCACTCCTTGCCGGATAATCCCAAATATAGGGAAGGGTGCTTGGAATGACCGCGGATGGCGCCGCCAGTTGCAGATAATAAAGAGATGTCACCAGCACACCAGACTCCTTCAAGGATAGTCAATCGTGAATTTATTCAAAACTTATGTCAAAAACACAAGCGCTTTCGGGACCACGCAGGATCCCTTCATCAGGCATAGCAATGGGCGGGCTTGCGATCATTGCAAGCACGATCTGCCTGTCCAAGATAGGCAGATCGTAGGTTTTTTTAATTACCTTACAACCATCGCAAGACAAAAGTCTTGCGATGGTTGTAAGGTGTGTGCCCAGCATTATAGTCTACAGCAGGGGTAGCCAAACTTGAGCCTTCCAGCTGTGGTGAAACTAAAAATCAGCTTCTAGTTTTCATGCAGGGCCCTCCTACCTCTTGGACTGAAATTGTATTGTTAACTGTATTGTCTCCCTCAGTTTTGTAAAGTGCTGCTCAAACTGTTGGCGCTATATAAATCCTGTATTATAATAATAATCATAATAATAATCTCTGGACAAATGCAAAAATAAACCCACCAATCACCATTTTTTAATACAAAAGAACCTTTTAACCTGAATCCATCATCATATGACCCTCTGTGGAACCTCTTCGCTAGGGCAGACTGGCTAACCAGAGCCACAGTGCCGGGGTGCTACCTATTGCTCTTGTTGCAACCCCTTGTTAAGATGTCAACTTACAATAGCTGTAGTCTCCAGGACACTGTGAGAACTGAGCTAATGGACAGCTAATGTGAAGTGCACACACCACCAGGCAGTGATGTGGGCTCCCGAGGAAGGATCCTCGGAATTACAGATGACTATGGACCTGATGCATCATCTAACCATGGATTGAGGTAAGCATTTGTGGTAACTTGCCTTGTTCTTTGGGGAAATGGGAGGGAAGGGCTGGCCAGAGAGGAACGTTAGAACCTGTGCTTTGCCTGTGCAGCCAAAGGTGGCCCAACTAGCACCACTCACCTTCCCTTCTCTCCCACACTGCTCTGTTCAGGCATTTGAAGTAAAAAGAAATACCCATCAATTCTGGGTATGACTCAACACCCAGCACTGTAACATAGAGGTGAATAGAGAGTCTGAAGCCCTTTATAAGCTCCAAGACATGACTTGGAACTTACACAGCCCTGCCCCTCACTCACTCCTGGGGATGAAAGGGAGTGGCTGGAGAGTGAAGGGCAACTCTGAGCAGCTGAAGGGGTCTACAGTAAAGTAAATCTGTTGCTTTGCTTTGCATGGGTACAACATAGGTTCTATTTAAAGCAGATGTTGAAGTAGATCTAAAAAGCTTAAACATCTTAATAGTAAAACATACATTGTAAAAATGTTCTCAGCCGGTCAGAAAGTGATGGTAAATCTCTCTAACATAGCCCTGATTAGCAGTAAAAACCTGACAAGAGTTTTAACCCGTCCCCCACTTTATCTACAACAACAAAAGTTTTGGCTGGACTTTTAACTTAATAAGCAATAATTATGTATTTTTTTAAAGGGGCTATTCCCTCACAATCTCCTTTCACACATGTCTCTACCACAAGGGGTAGAAAATGCATTTTTTAATTTACTTATTTTGAATATTTATATTATGTTGACATATTACGTAATACAAAAAGTCATTCACATCAGTACCTGAATCCTGAGATAGATCACAATTTATCGTTTTAACACACTCATGTAGACACTATGGCGAGTTTAGGGAAAAAGGCAGTTAACCTACCATGCTTTTGGGTTGTCAAATGAAATTAGAGCACACAGAAAAAACCCGTGCAAAAATGGTGAGACCTTACAACTGAAATCCGGTCAGATTTAAAAGTATCAAATTAATGTAGATTATTAAATGTATTTTTTAATACAAACTGTGTAAGTATCTGAATTTAACTTGCCCCTTGCAGTCTCTGTAGAGTAGAGCTGATACTGGGTGAGGGAGAAGCAGCACAAGGAACCAATCTGTTGTGCTGCAGTGGTCATGTGCTAACAAAGGACATAAAACGGGAGGAGAGAGCAGAGTGGCAGAGAGATGAGCTTATCAGTGTGCTGCTTCTCCTTTCACTGTCCAATCACAGGCTTGGGGGATGAATTAGACCGGTAAGTACTCCATAACTGTAGAAAAAAATTATTTACTGTGTGTAGAGTTGTGTAAATCTTGCTCAAATCCTAGAGAAGCAAAGGAAGAATGTTATCTATTGTGCCACCTTATCCCTATGTATAGTTGGTGAGCTGTGAAAATAAATCCTTGCTATAATTATGGATTGTTGAAAGCTTGCCATGAGCGGAGTCATTTCACCAAAATAGATTTCGCAGTGAAATTTCACTCAACCGAAACTCCGTTTTTACTCCTTGGTTTCCAATGCTTGTGCAACGCTCTCCATAGACACGCACTGTAGTGAGAAGCAAATTATGCCATTAATAACCATGGTTCTTACTGTTTTCATTGCTCCAAACTGATGGGTCAGGCAATGCAATTGGTTGTTATGGGTTCCTGCATTTCACACAAGATTAATGCAATTGCACTGCATCATTAAGTTTGCCTATCAGTGCAATGATACACAAGTGCTTTTATTGCATCCAGGAACTGTATATAAACGGTGCCTCCATTAGTAATCATGGGGCCCCATACAGCCTACCTGACAGCCCCCCACACTGGGATTGTTAAAGACCTGGGGTAGTCTGATGCACACTGAGAAAAAGGAACACTGCAGCGCTAAGCATGCTGTGGTGAATAGTGGGCCAGTTCACCCCTGCCAGTGGGAGTGGCTGAAGAGTAATATGTTAAATAGTCCATGCCTTCTTGCTGTATGCACTACACTTGCGGTTTGCACTACAAACATATGCCAAAGTCCTTATATCTATAAATTATGCCTTATTGCTGTGCCTCAAACAAAAGTCTCCAAGACACACACAAACCTTGGCACAAAGGATCATTTACACATGTTTTTCTACACATGGAACATACACACAGAGCTAACACCTTGTCTAATCATTAAAATAATTGAGATCTACTTAGAACAAGCAAATGTGGAGACAATAAACATCTAGGTAAGGAGTATGTCATCTACAACATAGCATATACAGTGTGAGGTCAGGACTATAGGAAACACAGTAAAGTGCCTAGGACTATGCAATATGCAAAATAAAGTATAAACTTCAGCAATCAGGCCTATTGAGTATACAACACAGGTAATAAAGTGCAGCTGCCAGGACTGTATAACGTACAACATAATGTATAGAATATAGCAGTAAGGA